AGCCCCTAAAGGTAGCTCAGGCAAGAGGTGCTGCTAACACCAGAATCTCCGTGTTGTTTTCTGTCCACCTTGGCATAAAGACAAGGGGGTTGGCTAGGCCTGCTGCTGCTAGAATTTATGGACCCTGAAAAGAAAGGAGTTGGGGAGGAGCTGAAGATAGCAAGCCAGAGAAAGAGTCTACACTGATCACCAAAACCAGGGAGAAGAAGGGAAGGCAGGTGTAGAAATTAAGGTGTGGGAATCAGAAATCAGAGAATTGAGAGAAGAGAGTCCCAAGCCAAGTGGGCAAGCATGAGCTTGGTCCAGGAGCCCTGGAGACAGACAATCATGACATGTGACAGGTCAACTTGTCAGATTGACTCCCTTAAAAGGGGCTTCAAACAGGGGTGACTAACTAGTTGGTGGGGCCAGGTTCCCTCAAGAATATATACCATGCAGAAAGCAGGTCTGAGGCTTTAGGTCTGTGATACTGTCGCTTTTAAGCTGTGTGGTCACGGCTCTTCACCATCCCAGTCTGAAAGACCCTTCAGGTGTAGGGACCTTAATTGGGCTAAATTCTAATGTAGAAAAAGAATAGGACTGGTGGAGCCTATGTCAGGTGCCAGGTCAACTACAGAAGGATGGGATAGTTGGCCACTAAAAGTGTGGTTCCTTCTTAGCTCTGCCCTATGAAGGAAGTCTTACCAATGGTAAGTCCCATAACCCTTGCTGCAGAATTGAGATAGCCTGGGCTTCCACTTGTGGTCCTCCTGTATTTAAGCTGTAGCTAGCTCTCTTCACCCCAGCCAGTCACTGAGGAAGTGGGATAGGTACACCGAACTACAGGCCCCACCTTCACTATGACCCTGGCTGGTGTGACCCTGGTCTTTTCGGGCAGCACTATCAAGCATATTCCCCAGAACAACCAGGAACTCCTGTGTGACGGTTAGTTTTACACGTCAACTTGACTGGACTGTAGGATGCCCAGACATTTGGTCATATATTATTCAGGAAGTGTCTTCGAGGGTATTTTGAAATGAAATTAACATTTGAACAAGTAGACAGGGGAAAGCAGATTGCCCACCCTGTAGGTGAACTCATCCAATCAACTGAGGACCTCAATAGAATAAAAAGCTGACCCTTCTGTAAGAACAACCACCTTTTGACGTGGGGCAAATGTCTTTTGCGGCTTTCTGACTTGAACTGAAACATCAGCTCTTCTTGGGTCTCAAGCCTGCCAGTTTCCTAACCAGAACTTATACCATTGGCTCTCCTGGGTCTCCAGGAGATCTTGAGACTTCTCAGCTTTCATAATCACAAGAGCCAATTCCTTATAATAAATCTCTTTCTATACATATCCTGTTATCCTGTTTTTCTGTAGAATCCTAATATATATGAGTGCATGTGTGCAACACATTTTCCATATACATATACAGTCTGTTTTCTCTCTTTCTTTCTTTTTGGGTTGGAGTCTTACTCCATTACCTAAGCTAAAGTGCAGTAGCATGCTCAGGGCCACCCCACCATCAACCTGCTTGCTCAGGTGATCCTTCCACCTCAGCTTTCCGAGTAGCCAGAACTACAGGTGTGCGCTACCATGCCTGGCTTATTTTTTGATTTATTGTAGAGACATGGTCTCACCAAGTTGCCCAGGCTGTTCTCGAACCTGTGGGCTCAGGCAATCCCCTCACCTTGGCCTCCCAAAGTTCTAGGATTACAGGCTTGAGACACCGTGCCCAGTCAGACAGCCTATTTCCTCTCTTGTCATGCTCCATGCTCTCCTGGTGAACCTGGGACCCAGAAATCTCCACCACTGAAAAGCCATCATCTGAGATATATGCACTCTGTCATCCCAGCCAGTCAACATTCCTGGAAAGGCCACACCAACCACCTCTCTCTTCCTACTCTGGGCTATGTGGTTAGACAAAAATCACAAGAGCTAGCCAGATTCTTGAGCTCTCCAGGCTCAGCGGGAGCTCCCATAACTGATCAGTGCCTTTGATGGCTCACTCTCAGCGCCTCTTCCAAACACTATCCATTCCCTCAAGGCTGAACCCTATCCTTTTATTGCCATGCTCAGCAGATTGTCTCGATTGACCTAAGAAAAACATCATTTGATAGGAGCTCCTACAACTTCCCTCTCTACTCAATTCAAAATGTCTCTGATCCTTCATCCATCCTCTTCTCCTTTCCTCCCAGAGAGAAAGGTCTTTAGGCCATGCATATAAAGGTAAGTTCTTTTTTTTTTTGAGTTGGAGTCTCACTCTGTTACCCAGACTGAAATGCAGTGGCACGTTCCCAGCCACTGCAGCCTCAACCTGCTGGACTCCGGTGATCCTTCCACCTCAGCCTTCCGAGTAACTGGAACTACAGGCGCGCGCTACCACACCCAGCTAATTTTTGATTTATTGTCGAGACAAGGTCTCACCAAGTTGCCAGGGTGGGTCTCGAACCCACAGGCTCAGGCAATGCATTTGACTTGGCCTCCCAAAGTGCTGGGATTCCAGGCTGAGCCACCAAGCCCGGCCAAAGCAAAGTTCTTGAAGGAGAAGTATCCACACCAACTCTAATCAACACATAGATTGGAGGTCTCAAGGGTGTGCATGGTCAGTTGAGGGCATCAATATCTCTTCATCTGGGTTCTTCCCTCTGACCTTCTTCCCCTGGGATGATCTCAGGGGACTGGTTTTAGCTCAGGTAGACCCTCACTAAGCACCCCAAAGGGAGGCCAGAGCCCAAGACAGTCTTTCTAGCATGTCCCTTATCCTGTGGCAGACCATTCCTCTCATCTAGGTTTCTCAGTGTGTTGACCTTCCTGCTTTGTTTCATTAGATATTTTCTTACACTCTCGCTTGTATATTCAATCTTTCTCTCTCCTCTGTATCTTTACACTCAGTTTGAAATATACTTGAAACTCTTCCATCCTAAATTGTCTGCCTCTCAATACTGCTGTTCTCCTGTCTACTGCCTTAAATGTCTCTTTTCCTTCCCAAGAAACTCCTTGAAAGTGTAGCCAGCATTTTCTGTTTTCAGTTCAAACTGGCCATTCACACACACCCAAGTTCTTGTTTCTGTGCCCACCACACCCTCAGTTCCATCGACACTGCTCTACTGCAGATGCTAAAGTCAAGTCATCAAATCCCAGTCACTTTCCAACCCTCTTCGGATAGGTTGTTCACCTGTATTTTGGGAAATTGAAAGAAAAAAATGTATGTCTACCCAGAGCACTCACAGGGGAGCAGGATCATGTGAATTCTAATTATGGAAGTTTGCTCCAAGGAGAAATCAGTTCTTGGGCATGGAGTCAGGACTAAGAAGTCCAACCTCATCCATTCAGTTTGCCAGCTGGATGCTTGGACTTGACCTAATTAAAGGAGATGACTGTTTTGTTTTTTACAAGGAGATGTTATCATCCCCATTATACCAAGAAGGAAATTGAGGCTCAGAAAAGACTTGTAGATTGCCCAAGTAACACAGTGAGTTAGGATCAGAGCTTCTTCTACCACACTGTAATGACAATAGCTATGACCCAGCAATAAAAGTGACCGTATACCAGGCATGTGCTAAGAGCTTTACAAAGCATTACCTCATTTAACTGTCTCCCAAAGTACAGAGTAGTATATGCCACTGACCACGGTTCCATCTGGATGTCTAAAGGACATCTCAAAGGTCACACATCCAGAAATGAAATCAAGATATTTTCCTGAAAAACCCTTTCCACTTGTAGCTTTAATGATCTTAACTGATGGCAACTTCATCCTACTAGTCGCTCAGCACAAAATTAGAGTCATCCTTTACTCCTCTCTTTCACTCCTCACATACAGTTTCTCAGAAAACCCTGTTGTCTCTACCCTCAAAATGCCTCCATAATCTCTCTTCTCACCACTTCCACTGCTACCAGACTGGTCTCCGTCTCCCAGCAGGTCTTGCCACTGTTCCTCTCTCACCTCCCTCTCCCCACTTCTCCATCTCCTGGTCTATTCTCAAAGCAGCTAGAGTGATCCTTTTAAAACTAAGAGAGACCGGGTGCGGTGGCATGCACTTGTAATCCCAGCAACTCAGGGGGCTGCGAGGGGAGGATCACTTCAGGCCAGGAGTTCGTGACCAACCTGGGCAACATGGTGAGATCTCAACTCTAAAAAAAATATATTTTTAATTAGCTGGGCTTGGTGGCGCATATCTGTAGCCCCAGCTGCTCAGGAGGCTGAGGCTGGAAGCTTACTTGGGGCCAGAAGTTCAAGGTTGCTGTGAGCTATGATCCAGCCACAGCGCTCCACCCTGGGCGACTGTGAGATCTTGTCTCTAAAACAAACAAACAAATTGCGAGAACAACAACAACAAAGACAGATCATGATCCTCCCCTACTCAAAACCTGCAGTGGTTCATCTCACCAGACTAACAGCAAAGTCCTAATTCCCTCACCTCCTTCAAGTCTTTGCTCAAACATCACATTCTTATTGTGATCTTCCATGTTCCCTTACAACTTCAAATTTCCCTTTATCCTCCGCTAGTTTAACCTCTTTCATAACACCTGTCTTCTAACACAGTATATAATTTACTTAACATTTGTCTCTCTCTGCTATAATGTGCACTTTTCAAGGACAAGGATTTTTGTCTGGTTTTGTTCGTTGATATATCTTAAGCGCCTAAAAGAGTGCCTGGCGCACACTAAACACTCAAATTGTTCAATGAATAAACTGTCCTGTTGACGCCTTATGTTGCTTTCCAGAGCACTTTGACATTTATTATTCCACGAATTGCGACCTTTGCGCTGCTCTCTAGCACCACTTGGCGGCAGTTGCGCAGACTGCCTTGACGTGGTTCTCGTCTATTGCGGAACTCTGGGCTCGGCGCTCACCGAGTCCCCACCGGACCAAAAGCAAAGAGCACAAACTCCGGAAGAAATTACAACCGCAGGACATTTTTAGAGCCCCGAGGGATCACTAGTAACCAATAGACACAAAGATACAGCTCACGTGGTGCAAATTCAGCCTATCGAGCTCCTAGTGTTCTGTAGCTCACTCTCTTCCGCTCCTGCCTCCTTCTTTCTCGACAAGATGGCCACACCGGCGGTACCGGCAACTGCTCCTGCCGCCACTCCAGTCCCATCGCCAACACCGGCAGTGGCCCCGGCCTCAGCCCCGGCCCCGTCCCCAGCGCCAACGCCAGCTCCAGCGCCGGCCGCGGCTCCGGCTGCAGCTCCGGCCCCGGCTTCATCCTCAGATCCGGCGTCAGCAGCGGCCACGACTGCGGCTCCGGGCCAGACCCCGGCCTCCGCGCAAGCCCCGGCTCAGACCTCGGCGCCTTCACTGCCTGGACCCGCCCTCCCAGGGCCCTTCCCTGGCGGCCGCGTGGTCAGGCTGCACCCAGTCATTTTGGCTTCCATCGTGGACAGTTACGAGCGACGCAACGAGGGAGCTGCCCGAGTTATCGGGACCCTGCTGGGTGAGAGGACAGAGAAAGTTGTTCTTGTCATTCTCCCACTTGTCCTCTCTCTCTTCCCATCCCCATTGACTTTTCATCTGTTTCTCATCCCCGCTTTCCGCTGCGACTTACCTTCCCAGGGGACTCGAACCTTTCCTCTTTCTTGCCGGATTACTGTCACTTGGAGCGACGTAAAGTATACAAGGAGTGGTTGTCATATTGTATGCCTCGTACAGTAGTTTACGTTTTATTTTTAATCTTTCCACAGCATTTTTACGTCAGGTAATGATCCCCAGTCTGCCAAAAAATGAGCTCTAACTCCAGTGGGAAGTCAGGAACCCGTACCTGCCAAAGCCCCAGTGACCACGTTTTCCAGATGTTAACAAAGAATTGTCTAGCTAGTTGGCAAAGAGCGGAGACATTTTAAAGAGATATTCTTCACAAGTAAACTGGTGTGGCCGGAACCCACTTAGGATCTTATAGTATTCTGCTGTCCTAAACTTGTGAATCTCATCCTTTGTCCCTTAGTGTCACCTAATACTAGTACCTGATGTGATGAGCCCTATTCCTCCGGTGCTGTCTATAGTTTTCCATTTGGACACAATTATATCATGTGTTAATAAGTCTACACCAAATCTTCAGTTGAGCAAATAATCTTTTCCTTACCTGTGTTCCAAATCTGGGGAATAGATATTTTATGTTAACATAGTTTGTAAGACGGAAAAGCACTAAAGAGGGATTGCTGATAATAAATTCCTTTCTTTGGAACCAAGAAATTATTTTCAGTCCGTCTTAGTGACAAATTTTAAACTTCTTTGTGATCCACTTCACCTACATGCATCTTTTCTCTTCCGTATTCTTGAATGTGTAATAATCCTTACACCATAGAAGAAAATTGGTGTATTGCAAAGAGGTCAAGGTTTGTAGGCAACCTCCACCAAATATTACCCATGCTTTGGGACAAATTACCTAAAGTCTAGTTCTTTCAGGGGCTACTACAGGCTTAGTCTTTTTGAGAGCTGAAGTATTACAGAAAGCTTCTAACTGCTGGCACACAGTAAGTACAACTGTTTGTTGTCATTCACCACATCAAACCTAGAACACCATACATATTCTCTGTTTATCTTTGACAGTGTAGCATTTTACAGAAATGTAGACTCCTATCTTCCAAACGTTGCTGTGTCTTTTCTCAACCCAAGCCTTTGTGTTCTTGTTACAAATACCTTCCCTGCTCACCCTTATTTGTTTAATTTCCACCTTCCTTCCAGATTCCCAGGAATGGTGTTAAGTATCAGTCCTCCACCCCATACCCCCACCCTCACTCCATTCTCAACCTTCCACAACATGGTAGCACTGTAACTGCCCTGCTTTGAGCTTTTGTAACAAATTATTTTTGTTTCACTAACTTTGCACTCAACAGATACTCTTTCATAGAATCTGCACTGTCTGATCTTCCAAACTCATTGAAACTAAAGAAACTATTTTAGAAAATAAAGAAACTATTTTCTACCCAAGATTTATGCTTAGTGCCCCATGTATCCATGACCCTAGTCAGACTAGCTGTAATTTAGAGTCTCAGATCCCCTTTCAGGCTGGAATCATGGTACAGCGTTTGAGGTGTTGTAGAGGCAATGCTTACAGAAGTGTAAACCACAGACTCTGCTTGCGAGGAACTTAAAATTTCCTAGACATTAATTCATGAAATATTTTATTTGGTTAAATGAAGCCATCGGTGCCTTTTATGTACCATAAAACTAGGTACTTAAAATTCAAAGTTTGATAAAATGAGCTCTACTGTCACCTTAAACTCAGGATAGACGTATACTCTTATATGCACATAATTAGAATATAATGTGATAAATGCTTTAAAAGAAAGGAGGCATGGAAATACAGAAGACTATTTCAGAAGGTTGGGGAAGGCTTCACAGAAAAGATGACATTTGAGCTGGGCATTAAAGCAACTACTAAGAGTGTAAAAGAGCCTGGTAAGTCTACTATCTGAAGAATTCAGTATTTCAGAAATGTAGGAGAGAAAAGAGCTACAACAGGAAACAAAACCAGCAAACTGAGGAGCCATAATTACAAGTGTAAAGTGCTGTGAAGAATTACCAGAAGCTATGAGAAGACAAAACATAGTTTAGGGCTGTTTGGGAAGATTTGAGCAATAAGCATTTTGGCTTAGACTGAATAGTAATTAAAGATCACTATGCACTATGACTGCTTTGTAAAGAGTAGATAAGAGACAGGCATGGGCTGTGCATGAACACCAGAGAGGCTGTTCTGGTAACAGGGAAGCTCTTGAAAGGTGGGGTGGAGAGGAGTGAGCGAGATGAGAGACAGGAAATTGTGTTGACAGGACTTGGTATGATCAGAAGTGAGGAATTAAAGAGAAGAAAGTATTGAGGATGACTCCTACATCTTTGGTTAAGTGTGGAAGAAGAAAAAGAAGGTGGAAGTTGGCTTCAGCTTAGGATGTATTCCTTTTGAGATGACCACTGAACATTCCAGTGGAGTTGTTAAGTAGAAAATTGAATATGAGGGTCTGGAGTACAACAGAGATGTGAGCAAGCATGTCAGTTTAGGAATTGTGCCATTGGAATACAGAAGGCAATTGAAACCATAAAAATGGATGAGATCGCCTGAAGCAGAGATTAGCAAACTCTGCAAAGGGCCAGACTGTAAATATTTTAGGCTTTGTGTATAGTCTTTGTTGCAGCTACTTAACTCTGCCTGTAGCAAGAAAGAAGTCATAAAAAATGGCATGTAAACTTTTATTTACAACAAACTTTTCTAGGTCAGGACCTGACTAGTTCAGGTAACAAAGAGTAAAAAGACAGACCCTAAAAACCTGTTAAGTCAGAAGGAAGAGTAGCCGACAAGATTACAGAGGTAGGAAGAAAACTAGAAGAAACTGGTGTCATGGTAGTCCAAGGAAAAGAAAGTTTAAGAAGGAGGGAAATGTCAAGTCTGTGGAATCCTGCTGAGAGGTCAAATAAAATAAAGGATGTATGTCCGTTTGGTTTAGGGACATAGTTTTAGCTAAGGGAGCAAAAACCATAGTGAATTGGAATTAGTCAAACATGGTAGGTATAAGCATCATTGCAGTCTGGTAGAGGAAAGCACTTGCAGCCTGGGGTGGGAGGTCCCAGTAGATGAGAAGAGAATGGAGAAGTCAAGGGACTGGTAATCTTAGTGAAATCAAGAAACAAATGTAGTGGAAATATAGGTATCAGAACTTAAAGAACAAAAATTTGTTGTAAAAGACTGACATGTTGATGTTTAAGGTTCACTGGTAGAGGGTTTCTAGATGATAGGATTAAGCCTATGACCATGGGACCAGGTAGCTAAAGGGAAGTACAGGTGACACTCCTAAAATTGTGCTCAGAGTCTAACACTAAACTGCTGTATTGGCATTCTGCATTGGCATAACAATCTTCCAGGCAGTTCTGCAGATTTAATTATAGGGAGAAAGTCTAGAAGCTGAAAAACAAATTCATAGAGTGAAAGCCAAGAATAGGGCTGGTGCTGGAAAGTAACAGACAAGTGGAGACCCTGTAAAGGAAGAGTGTTCCCTCTTTGGTGATGGCTGGAAGGAGGAGTTGTAGATCACTCCAGAGTTTCAGTTCTCTGAAGAATCTTTGTTCCACTGAAGCATGTGGCCAAACCAGAAGCTAATGAATTCAATTCAGTGTTCATTGACTTTGAGAAGACCAAAAGCATTTCAGAAGTAGTTGGAGGCTTTGGGGCCCTGGGATTATATAACACATAGCTGATTCTCTCTTTCACAGGAACTGTTGACAAGCACTCAGTGGAGGTCACCAATTGCTTTTCAGTGCCGCACAATGAGTCGGAAGATGAAGTGAGTGGGATTCTAAGCTGCCCCTCTAGTTTATAGCTGTTCATTTGCTAGGCTCCTCTCACGGGCCCTCCCACATGATATGTTGTGCTTATAACTGGGCTCCTGGGCCAAGGAAGCTTCATACTATCTGTATGTAGTTCCCAGGCCTCTTCTGTCTGTTGGGCTGGTCTCTTGTCCTTTTTATCCAGTTTTTCTATGGACTTCTGACTTATTAGCTTCCTTTCCTGCCTTCCCTCTTAGGTCGCTGTTGATATGGAATTTGCTAAGAACATGTATGAATTGCACAAAAAAGTCTCTCCAAATGAGCTCATCCTGGGCTGGTAAGTTGGGGAGGTGGGGAGGGGGGGCGGGGACAGATAGAAAGTTGATGATTGCGAAGATCGTGTCCTCTTCCATTTGGAGATAGAATATTGAAAATGTATTACCTTGAGGAGCTCTGATTTCAGTGTGTTTTGCTGGCAATTCTGATCCTATAAGGCTGGGATATTTATTTTGAATTGTAGCTTTTTAAGTCTTTTTCTTTGCCTTGCTGGTGACTTGAAATTTTTCAAGAGCACCAAATCAGTCTCTGATTTGACTTGACATCGTTTTCTTTTTTTTTTTCAGTTTTTATGGTTTTATTTAAACACAAAATGTGCACATGAGTTGTCTATTCATTTTCTTCACTGCACAGCCTAATGTTGGGCATTAGAATTGGTGACTCTGATGGCCATCTGGGCTGCTCTTTCTACAATGGCTTTGCGGTTCTTGGAGGAAATGTTGTGAGCAATCTCAGCACAATAAGATTTCTTGCACATCAGCAGCACTTCCAGCTCCTTGACGTTGAACCAGGAACTTCCAGAAGCCACTGAGCAGCATGTGTTTTGTTTTCTTGTTGTTCCCATAACCAATGTTGGGCATCGAGATCTGACCCTTGAGTCTTCTACACACCCCATTGTCAATACCTCTGGGTTTCTGCCAGTTATACTTAATCTTGACATATCAGTCTGGTGCTAGATAAATTTTTTGGTCCTCTTTTTGACGTTCTTGGGTTTCACCAGGGGTCCCAGGGCAACTGAGATGCCAGGTAGGAGATAGCTGCCACCTTGGTAGGCAGCACCAAGGAAGCAATATTGTTTTCAATGCGTATATTGTTTTTGATGTTTGGTGTCACAGATGTCACTACCATAAGGGTGTCAGGTACCCTAAAAGCACCCATGCCACTGTAGTGTTTGGAATCTGTGTCACACGTAGACATGAGCCCACACTGTGTTTGTTTTCCAGGTACGCCACAGGCCATGACATCACAGAACACTCTGTGCTGATCCATGAGTACTACAGCCGGGAGGCCCCCAACCCCATTCATCTCACTGTGGACACGAGTCTCCAGAACGGCCGCATGAGCATCAAGGCCTATGTCAGGTGACCATAATCTTGGCCACAAGGGCATGCAAGGCTGTCCAGTTCATACCATGCCTAGATGACATCCCACCCTCACCCCAAACAAGTTTAGTTCCTTCATTGGATAACTCGCTGCCTCAGAAAACCTATTCCTCTCTGCAGTTTTTCAAAAGGCTTTACTGGGAAACAAAAATCTGTCCCTATAATTTCCACTCGGTGATCCTGGTTGTACTCCAGGTTTCTACTCATTGCTCGAGTTGGAGTCACTCTGTTGCCCAGGCTGGAGTGCAGTAGCGGGCTTATGACCACCCCATTGGCAACCTGCTGTGTTCTGGTGATCCTTCTGCCTCAGCCTTCCAAGTAGCAGGAACTACAGGCACACACTACCACACCTGGCTTATTTTCTGATTTTTATTGTAGAGACGAAGTCTCGCCAATTTGCCTGGGCTGGTCTCTAACCCGCGGGCTTAGGCAATCCACTCACCTCGACCTCCCAAAGTGCTGGAATTATAGACTGAGCCACCAAGCCTGGCCCATTGCTTTTAAACAAGTTCAGATGACAGCTCTTTTAGGGTTTTGAGCAAGGTATTGTGTTTTTTCAAGCCATATTTTCTAGAACCTGACCACCCCACAATTAATGAGGCCAGTTCTTACATGAGGTTCTTGTCATGGTCTTTCACCATGTTCTTACTTTTCTGAATTACCCTTTAGTTTGTCATTATCCCTAGAACTCAGAGCAGTAGTACAGATTAAAGGATGACTGTCCTTATTTTGAATATATCTGTTAACCCAGATTTGAGGGCATGGAATTTTAATGACAATAACATTACCGTGTTGACACATTGAGCTTGCAAGCAGTTAAAATGCCATTTGATGAGAGGTGTTGGGAAAGGTCCCAGTAGCATGCTGAAGAGGATACTGTGGCAGTTGGAAGGATCATATCTTCTGGTTGGAATGAAGGCATCTGTTAATGCCTTCTTATGCTGCATAATTTTGTGCTGGTTCTGTGTCTGACACTAATGTAGCTAGTTAACTATTACACACTAACGCAAAGATGGTGCATGCCAGGTCCTTAAGAGCCAACTGGCATACCACTAAGCTCTAGCCATTGCCTGACTTCTTAGCCTTTCCAGGTATTTCAGACTTCTCGATATCCAGTATACAGTATATATAGTTGGCATAGTAAAGATAGCACCTTTTGTGAGATAAATTAAAGTACCCAGTCTGGTGTCGGTTGGCAAGTGTTGATTTTTTTCTTAGTACTGATGAAGGACTCGTTCTCAGAAAAGACCCATCTCTGTCTCTTCTTTCCGTGTGGGTGGGTATCTAGGCCACCGGCTCCACAGGGAAATCCAGAGTCTTATCCTCTCATCACTGATGTTGCACAGTATATTAAGTAATTACCTCTAAAGAGACTAGGCCAGATCTGAGGGCTGAGTCCCCTTCTTGCAGGCCAAGGGTTTGGTGTGTGGAATGAGATAAAGGGAAAGTCACTTTTGCTCCCGTGAGACCTCTGGGGTCCAAGTGGTTCTAGCCTCTTATCTCAGAACCTTGGATGCCATATTCCTGGTAAGACTGTTGTCCTGACCCAGACTACGTATAGAAACTCTCTCCCAAGGCCGTCTGTTTACATTGACTTCTCCCTCCCCAGCACGTTAATGGGTGTCCCTGGAAGGACCATGGGAGTGATGTTCACACCTCTAACAGTGAAATACGCATATTATGACACTGAACGCATTGGAGGTGAGTAACTTGCCCATATACTTCCTAGAGGTTTTGGACATTTTTAGGAGAGGGGGCTGTTGCATCCTAGGTGAAGGGGTCTGGCTCTGTCAGGAGGAAGAAAAGCTAATAAGAGCAGAGCAGGGAGTATGGGGAAGCTGACTGAGTCCAGGGGGCACTGGGAAGGGCAAGACAGGTAGAGGCTGTCTCTTTCTGATGGAATGACCACATCCTCTATGTCTCTTATTGTCTGCCACCACTGCCACCACCCTGCCAACCAACTCCCACAGTTGACCTGATCATGAAGACCTGTTTTAGCTCCAACCGGGTGATTGGACTTTCAAGTGACTTGCAGCAAGTAGGAGGAGCATCAGCTCGCATCCAGGATGCCCTGAGCACAGTGTTGCAGTACGCAGAGGATGTACTGGTGAGAGGGAAGGGAAAACCAAGGGGAAGCACGTAGAGCCACTCTAGGGTCGCTGAGGAATATGCTGATGAAGTGGTGGTGCTCCGCAATCAGAACTCACTGTGCCTCATGGCATCTTTATTTTGATTCTCAGTCTGGAAAGGTGTCAGCTGACAATACCGTGGGCCGCTTCTTGATGAGCCTAGTTAACCAAGTACCCAAAATCGTACCTGAGGACTTTGAGACGATGCTCAACAGCAACATCAACGTGAGTGCCATTCTGGGACCTCTGGGAGCCCAGTTCTTCTTCCTGTCTCAGCACATGACTCGAATGTGAAGGGAGTTGGTTGAGGTGGTCTGGAGTAGGAGAGAAGAGACAGGCCGTCACCTATAGCCCCCTTGCAGTCCAGGTTGGGAGGAGGAAGAGGTGATATACATGCTGGAGGTTCCTTTCCTTTTCCTTCCTTGATTCCATTGACTCAGTTAGGTGCTGCTGTAACTTGTTTGGATTTGTGATGGAAAAAAAATGCTAAAATTCAGAGGTTAATGGAAACGCAATTTCTTATTTTCCCCATCTGCATTCATAGACCACCACCACCCCACCCCCGCCACCACCATTTTCTACCCATGGGTCTCGGCTAAAGCACTCCTAGTCTATGAGAAGAGAAACGTTTCCCAGGCATTACTTTGCCATCTTCCACCTTTGACTCCTGCTCAGTCTCTCCCAACTGCCATCATCCAGGACTGTCCTCATGCTCAGTGCCCACCATGGAGCTGGCCAAGACCATCCTTTCTGCTCCCTTTCCACCCAGCCCCTCCCTCATTGTATATTCTTTTGTCTTCCAGGACTTGCTGATGGTGACCTACCTGGCCAATCTCACACAGTCACAAATTGCCCTCAATGAGAAGCTTGTAAACCTATGAATGGGCCCTCAGCAGCACTCCTGCTAGTCTGGATCTTAACCCTAGGACTCAGATGAAGTGAAGGAGAAATGGTTTTTTTGTGGTCTTGAGTCACACTGAGTTAGTCAACTGCTTGTGACTCTAATAAACATAATAACTTACCTTTTGTAAATGAGTTCCATCTTACGTGAATTTATTGCTGTATGGAAGGGAAGAAAATGTTCCAGAGCTCACACACAAACTAGGAGGTGAGACCTGTAGGCAACATGTTCATCATGACTTGCACCCACAGTTGGCAACATGTTCATCATGACTTGCACCCACAGCCCGAGCCGCTTCAGCTTCACCTGACCCCACACCAGGTAGCTTTTTTGCATGCTAGTGTTATAGTGGCATTTTCTCCCCACTGTTTTGCCAGTGATCAGGGCAAAAAGTTGATTATCACTTCTCTGTGGCATCTTTCATGGATGGCAGTACGGAGGGTTGCCTTCCCACAGTGTTGAAGCGCCAGGAGGTGTGCTAGTGAGTGGTGGAGAGGAGAGAAGAGGATGGATACTGATCTCACTCCTGGGACCCTTGAGTCTGTGCTGATAGAATGACGGCCTTCTCCATGGTGAGGATTAACTGCTTTACCAGATTATATATAGAGAAGTGTTCACTGACAAAACTGAAGTATTTCTTTTTTTTCTTTTTTTTTTTTTGAGAAAGCAAGATTTATTAAGAGGACAGAAAAGCTCTCACAATGGGAGGGGACCCCAGGGGGTTTCCCTGAAGTGTTTCGTAACGGTTTGTGAGGTTTCCATGGGAAATGAAGATGGATGCTTGATCTGAACTGAAAGAGTAGAGCATGTGGTCTTTGCCTTAAAATTCGTTGATATGATAGTAGGTAGAACCATTTGCCACTTTGGTTCAGGGAGGCAAAATCAGGATCCGTGGGTTGAAGTTCAGAGATTTTCCCAAAGCTTCAGAAAATCTTTAGGTGCTGCCTGTAACTTGAGAGCAGCCTGTTAAGTTGAGGTCTGCCGATGAAGTGAAAGCTACATGACATTTCCCAGAGACCTTGTAGGGTAGAGTACTTGCTTGGGCAGCCCCAAACTTCCCTTTCATCTGCTGTCATAGAGTTCTGTCTGGCCACTGTGAGATGTCTTCCTTTGAGAAAGAAGTTGTTATTCAAGGACTGAGGGGTATGTTACATTTGGAGTAAAAAATGAATGAAGGAATCAAAAAGCCTGCATCCTAATTCTGCTTATGAGATATGTAATTAGAAGAAAGACAAATTCTAGGAGTCATAGAATGTGGATCCATAGCCCTTTATTCAGGGCATTGTGAGAATTCAGTGAATTAATGAATGTTAACACAGAAAATAGTGCCTGGTATATAGTAGACATGAATAGGTGGTAGAGTTTTTATGTTTAGAGTTAAATACAGTTTGAGGATAATAAGCAACATGAACTTCAGCCTGGATCTCAATTCTGGTTCTGAGATACGTAACCTTAGGAAATACAAGTCCTGGGGTTCATTGGATTATGATGATACTTTAGTGCATGTAGGGAAATGTGAACAGATGTCATGATGATTAGGTGAAATTAGGTTAAACATAGAACACGTGGGAAAAGGGTTGACCAGAGTTAAAGTGTTTTAGTATTCTTGTATTTGGATGGGCAGTTCTTAAATATGCATGAAAAAATTCCAAGGTTAATTACTGGAAGTATATATAATCTCTAAATGAGCAATGAAGAGAGAGTATAATAAAAGGGAAGAAAATTTTTTAATTTGCTAAATAAGCATAGAAAAGATGGGTGAAACAATAAGATGACAAAAACAAGTAGAAATACGTCAGTAATCACAATAAGTGTTAAACATTAAACTAGCCAGGGGGTGGAAAATTTAATATTAAAACAAAACAAACCCCATCCATATGCTGTTTACAGGAGACACATGTAAAGCAAGGGTGAGCTAGCCACAGTGGCTCACACCTGTAATCCCAACTACTCAGGAGGCTGAGGCAGGAGGATCACTTGAGGCCAGCCTGGACCCTGTCCCTGAACGAATAAATACATTTTTAAAAATAGACAGAAAATTATCCTGCAGCTAGCTATAAGTACCAACATGGGTGAAACTTAATAATAGTTTTGAATTTAAAAATTTAGTCCCAGAATACAGTATACATATGATAATCCCAGAGTTCAAAAGCAAGTGAAACTAAACTTACTTAGACATACAGTTGGCCCTCTGTATCCCAGAGTTCTACACTCATGGATTCAACCATCTGTGGACAGAAAGTACTCGGAGGAAAAAATTGTACTGACCATGTACAGCCTTTCTTGAAATTGACCTCTAAACACAGTATAGATAGCAGGTATTTACATAGTATTTACATCGTATTAGGTATTCTGAGTTAATCGAGATCATTTAAAGTATACGGGCAGATGTATGTAGGTTATATGCAAATACTACATACACCATTTTATATCAGGACTTGAATATCTAAGGATTTTGATATCTAAGGGAGGTTCTGAAACCAGTCCCCCCATAGATGCAGAGGCACAGTTGTATGTATGCGTACAGTTGATTCTCATCCACAGTAGTTCTATAAAGTCGCCACAAACACTGAATTAAGAGTGCTGGACCGTTAATCCCAACAGAGATGCAGTTAGGTTCCTAACAGTCTCTGGTCACATTTTCATTACCAGTTAGTACATAACCTTGTTACACATGTATATCTGTTTAAAGACACCTGATTTACTATACATGGTTGATTTGGTAATATTGAACTCACGGCCAGGAACACTCATGCCTGAACAAAGCTTATCTCACAGTTGTAGTTTCTCCATATGGCACGTCACAACTTTTTTGTACTTAAGAATGCTCAGAGCCGGGCTCGGTGGCTCAGCCTGTAATCCCGTGCCTTGGGAGGCTGAGGTGAGTGGATTACCTGAGCCCACAGGTTCAAGACCCACCTGGGCAACTTGGTGAGACCTCATCTCTACAATAAATCAAAAAATTAGCCGGGCGTGGTAGCGCGTGCCTGTAATTCCAGCTACTTGGAAGGCTGAGGCGGAAGGATCACCAGAGCCCAGCAGGTCGAGGCAGCAGTGGGCGGGAGCGGTCACTGCACTCCAGTCTGGGCGACACAGTGAGATTCCAACTCAAAAAAAGAAAAAAAGAATGCTCAGCACTACTCTTGGGGGCCATTTTAAGCAGCAAAGTCAACAACACAAAGGGGCAGAAACTATGACTCTAAATGGACTGGAAAGTATGCTTGAGAGCTGAAGCAAGAAGGCTTTGTTCCACCTCAACTGGGAGCATGCACTGCAGGCAACTCGATATTTCTGTACTCTGCATGCTGCAAAAGTGCTGCAGGTGTTGATAGAGGTGAATTCACGGAGTCTGAATAGTGAGAATTGACTGTATGTGACTATGTATATAATGTAGACGATAGCACAAAAAGCAGAAAAAAAAGGTGAACTAAAAATTTGTGGTCATGTTAACCCTGGTGGTGGGAGGAGGCAGACATGTAAAGTAAGTAAATGGCATTGATCTAGTTTGAGGTTGGGAAGTGGGTTCTTGGTTATTGATTATATTATAAAAAAATAGCCCAACATGAACTAATGGTCACAGTGAGGTGACTTTACTCTGTTATAAGTTTAACAACCATTGTACAATTTGGATAAGAGGAAAAAAAACAAATACTGGAAAGAAAGGAAGATTTTTTTTTTTTACATTAGCATTACCCAGTTGATATGATTGGAAAAAAGGAAAATGCTAATTAGAAATAAAGGTTTAATCACTTGAAGGCATATCATGTTCTTGAATAAGAAGATTCAACATTGTTTTAAGTGTCGGTTTTCCCTAAATTAAACTACATATTTGTCATAATTTCAATAAAATACAATTTTTTTTTTTTTTGGAGCTGGGCAAGCTGTTTTTAACTTTATATGGAAAAATTTTTAAGTTTTTTCAAAAAATTCTTGCAGAGAGAGAAACTAGTCCTATCAGATATTAAAATGAGTTATAGAACTATGTAATTAAAGCCATGTGATACTGGTTCATACAAAGACAATGAAACTAAATAGTAAGTTCAGTAGATTCAAATGCACATAAGAAGTGTTAGTATATGGAGGAAAGGTAGAACTTTTACACTGTTGATTAGTACAGCCATTGTGAAAACAGTATGGAGATTCCTGAAAAAACTTAAAATAGAACTACCATATGATCCAGCAATGCCACTACTGAGCATACAAGTATGTTCAAAGGAAAGGAAATCAGCATGTTGGAGAAAGAGCTGCAGTCCCATGTTCATTGCAGCACTGTTCACGGTAGCAACCATATGGAATGAGCCTCGGTGTCCATCAAAGGATGAATGGGTAAAGAAAATATGTTACTTATGTGCAATGGGATACAATCTAGCCTAGAAAGAAGGAAGTCTTGCCATTTGTAACAGCATAGTTGAACCTGAAGGACATTATGTTGAGTGGAAAAAACCAAACAGAGAAAGACAAATACTGCATGCTCTCACTTGTGTATAGAATTTAGTAAAAAACTTGCAGAGAGTAGAAAAGTGGTTTCATGGGCTGGGAGGTGTGGGTAATTGGGGAGATGTTGGTCAAGGGGTACAAAATTTCATTCAGACAGGAGGAATAAGTTCTGGAAATGTGCAGCGGGGCGACTACAGTTTAAAGTATACTTGAAAATTGCTAAGAGTAGATCTATAAATGTTCTCATCACAAAAAAGACAGGTTAAATTAGTTGATTTAATCATTTTGACATGTACACCATAAATGTATACAATTCTTGTCCATTTTAAAATAAAAATGTGGCCAGGAACAGTGACTCACACCTGTAATCCCAGCACGTTGGAAGGCAGAGGTGAGAGAATTGCCAGAGTCCAGGGGTTCAAGACCAGACTGGGCAACTTGATGAGACCTCGTCTCTACAATGAAATTTTAAAAACAAAAACTAGGCAGGCATGGTGGTATGTGCTTGTGGTTCCAGCTATGTGGAAGGGTCACTTGAGCCCAACAGGTCAAGGCTGCGGTGACTGTGAGTGTGCCACTGCACTCCAACCTGAGCAACAGAATTAGACTCCAACTCAAAAAAACAAAAAGGGGCGGGTGGGACTAATGGTAGTAAACATCTGTCTGGAGACGGGGAGACACTTGCTATCAACAAGGG